TTCATTTTTCTTTTTTTAAAATTAAGTTTATTGGTAAATTTTATATATACATAATGATCATATTCATCATAGGGAATTTGTACCTGTACATGATATGTCTTGATTCCTTTTTTTTCCAATCCCTTCTCCTCCCTTCAACCCATCTTCCCCTCCCTATTTACAAAGCTTTGTTTCCATTTTATCCTATTTTTAAGCATTTTTTCCCTTTCTTCCTTTCCCCTTTTCCCCACCTCTTTCCTTTTGAACAGTTTCTTCCCATTTCACAGTATCTATTATACATGCTGGTCCTTATTTACTCATTTAATTTTTCATACTAGGGAGACAATGTGATGTTTATATAACATGTGAGTCCAATTTGTTTCACTTAAGAATATTGTCTCAAGTTGCACCCATTTACCTAAAAGTATCTCACTTATCCTTCTTTATAGCAGGGCAGTACTTCACTGTATTAAAAACACATTTTTTTTATCCATTGTTGGTTGACGGGCATTTGCATTGTTTCCAAGATTTAGCTATGACAAACTGTGCTGCTATATTCATGGGTGGGTGTGCACCTGTCACTGTGGTATGATGTTTTTAATTCTTGAAGGAAGATACCCAAAAGGGGAATAGCTAAGTCAAATGGGACCTCTAATCCTAGTTTTCTGAGAAATCTCCACACTGATTTCCATATTGGTTGCACCAGTCTACACTCCCACCAATAGGGGAGATGGGTTCCTTTTTCCTCACAGCCCCACCAGCATTCACTGGTTGATCTGTCAATAATAGCCATTCTTTCTGGAATGAAATAGAATCTCAACAGTGTTTTAATTTGCACCTCTCTAATAACCAGTGATGTTGAACATTTTCTCATATACTTATTTGTTGTTTGTATTTCTTTATCTGAGAAGTGTGTATTCATCTCAGATGCCCATTTTTTAATTGGGTCTTTTAATTTGGGGGAAGTCTGATTTTTTTTCAGTTCTTTATATGTTGTAGATATTAGTCCTTTGTCTGAAGGACAACTGGCTAAAATTTTTTCCCTCTCTATGTTGTCTTTTCACTCTGCTGATGATTTCTTTTGCTGTACAAAAGCTTTTTAATAGGATGAGATCCCAGTTATTGATTCCTTATATTATTTCCTGTGGGATCGGGGTTGTGTTCATGAAATCTTTGCCCATACCTATCTCTTCAACATTTCTACCTATTCTCTCTTCCAACAGATTTAGGGTTTCTGTTTTAATATTTAGATCTTTGACTCATTTTGACTTCAGTTTAGTGCATGATGATAGACATGGGTCCAGTTTTAGTCTTTGACTTATGGAAAGCCAGTTTTTCCAGCACCATTTATTAAAGGGGCTGTTTTTCTTACCTGGAACGTGTGTGGTTTCTTTGTGAAAGATAAGGTGGCTGAGTGTGTTTGGAGTTGTCTCTGCATCTTCTAATCTGTTCTATTGATCATTAGGCATTTTTTGCCAGTACCAATTTTTTTTTTTTTTATCACAGTAGCTTTGTAGTATAATTTCAAGTCAGGGATTGTAATGTCCCCACCTTGCCTTTGCTGCCAAGAATTGTTTTTGCTATTGCAGTTTTCCTCTGGTTCTAAATGAATTTTAGGAATATTTTCTCTAGTTCTGTGAGGCATGCTAATGGCATTTTGATTGGGATTGCATTGTCTGTATAACAATTTTGGGAGTATGACCATTTACACCATGTGGGGTCTTCTTATCCATGAGCAAGGGATATCTTTCCATTTTCTGATATTCTCTTTGGTCTCTTATTTTAGAGTACTGTAATTTTCAATGTCTAGATCTTTTCCTTTGTTAGATTGATTTCTAAGTATTTCTTTTCCCTTTTTTGATACTATTGTGAAATGTATAGCTTCACTAATTTCTCTCTCAGTAAGTTTGTTGTTTGTGTACAGGAATGCTATTGACTTTTGCAGGTTGACTTTGTATCTGGCTCTGCTACTGAATTTGGTTATTAAACCTACAAGGCTTTTGGTAGAGTTGGGGGGGGGGCTCTTTTATGCAGTGTATCATGTCATCTGCAAATAACAGAGTTTAATGTCTTCCTTTCCTATCCATATTGCTTTTATATCTTTCTCTTGTCTAATTGCACTGGCTAATGTTTCCCGAACTGTACTGAATAGGAGTGGTGATAGTGGACATTCTTGCCTCGTTCCTGATTTTACAATGGAAACTTTAAGTTTTTGACCATTTAGGATAATGTTGGCTGTTGGTTTGTTGTAAATGGCTTTTATCAGATTGAGGTAAAGATTATCTATTTCAATTTTCTATAGGGTTTTTATCATGAATGGGTGCTGGATTTTGTCCAATGCTTTTTCTGAGTCTATGAGACAATCATATGGTTTTTGTCCTTGGTTCTGTTAATATGGTGTATTACATTTATTGATTTGCATATGTTGAACTATCCCTACATCCCTGGGATGAATCCAACTTGGTCATGGTGTGTAATCTTCTGGATGATTTGCTGCCTTCTGTTTGTCAGTATCTTCTTGAGTATTTTTGCGTCTGTGTTCTTTCGGGAGATTGGCCTGTAGTTTTCTTCTTTGATTGGATCTTTTTCTGGTTTTGGTATCAGGGTAATGTTTGCGTCTAGGAATGACTTTGGGCGTTTTGCTTCCCCTTTTGATTTCATTAAAGAGTTTGAAGATTAACATCATTAGGTGTAAGGGTATAAATGCTCCTAAGGAAATGGTCGAGTTAGAACACAAGGCAGGCAAGATGGGAGGACCTGGCCCTGGCTTACCCTGAAGCGTTGTGCGGGACATAACTCCGGAGGTGGTGCAGCTTTGTGTGCTCCCGCCTGCTCTCCTGTACCTCTTGGAGGCACACTGAATGTTAGGGGTCGTGGCCTGCAAGGTCGTGATATGTCATCCAGGTCACAGGAAGCTGGAATTGTAGGTCTCACCTTTTACGGCTCTTGCTCACCTTCCTGTACACTAGTACCCCAGCATTAAACATCCGCCAGGTGTCGCTTAGCCTTAACATCCAGACTCTTGTCTTTGAAAGTCCTGCTGTGTTGACACTACGGCAATTCATCCTTATCTATGTTTTGATGCACAGCCTAGGAGTTTTTGGCTTTTGGACACTTTGTGGACAAGCTACCCAAAAATTAGCCATACTAATTTATATTCCTTTTATCGGGGCATGAAACTGTTCTACCACATACATGCTAGTGTTAGGAATCCTCATTACTTGTGCCTCTTTTTAAAATTTGATCACAGAGATATTTCATTTTTAGATTAACATTTCTTTATTGTCAATGAGAGTAAACATGTTTCCGTGGGCTTACTGCTCTTCTGTCTTTCATCTGTGTCGACTGTCTGCTCATACCTCAGGAACATGTGAACTTACAGGTTTGAAGGACTTGTTTCTATGATCGTTCTAAATATCAAAAGTTTTAACGTATGTATTTCAGCATAGTTGGCCTGGTTTCTCCGGTTGCTGTCTCCTAATTTGAGTGACTTTTTTATGAAAAAAATGAAACAAAATTTTATAACAAAATAAGAGAATAATAAGGGTTAATACACTGTGTCATTAGCTTTAAAGTAGTTACTCCAGGTACAAGACATAGACAAAAAGATTCTCTCTTGCAAAAAAGAAACAGATGGGCTGCTGTAAACATGGGTGCATATATAGTGCTGTGGTATGATGCTTTTAATTCTTCTGGGAAGATATCCAGAAGGGGAATACCTGGGTCGAATGGGCCCTCTAACCCTACCTTTTTGGGAAATCTGCACACTGATTTCCACAGTGGCTGCAGCAGTCTGCATTCCCACCAACAGTGGAGAAGAGTTCCTTCTTCCCCCGCCACCATTTGTTAAATCTTGGAAACAACCCAAATGTCCATTAACCAAGGAATGGATAAAAGAGATGGACTACTTTTATACAATGGAGTACTACTCAGCCATAAACAAGGATAAACTTGAGACTTTTATAGGTAAATAGATGCAACTTGAGGCCAAACTCATAGCTGAAATAAATCAGACTCATGTGTAAACATCATATTGTCGCCCTGGTGTGAGAAACTGAAAGAGTGAATAAGTTCTAAAATGTAAATAGATATTGTGAGATGGGAAAAAAATATTCAAAGGGAAAGGATAACTAGGATAGGGGAGAGGAGAAAGGACAAGGGAAAAAGGAAAAAGAAAAAGCAAGTCAGTTATATTATTCATGTCCCTTAGTTCATTGAAAGGGAAGGTTTGTGCTAATATCATTGGAAAAAATTTTAATGCCCATATCTTGTACTCTAAATAACTACTTTAAAGATAACAATATGCAATGCATTTACTGTTGTTATTCTCCTATTGTTTCGTTATGAAATTTTGTTTTACTTTTTTTCCATAAAAAACGAAACAGATAATAGCACAAAACTTTTTCAATGAACTAAGAAAGCAGTAGTATAAATGAAACAAATTAGCATATATGTTATTTTTGGATCAATGGGATATTGTATCTCCATATTTGTTTCTCAGAAGTTTTAGGTGTCAGGAAATGGACGCTGTTTTTCCCTTTCCTCTGTGTGCCTGCATTTGGGTGAGCAGCTCTCCGGCGTTTGCCACCGCCAGACTTGAGGCACTGCGCGGGCACAGGCAGTGCAAGGGTGTGCGGCCTGCTCCTTGTCCTTGAAGAGATCGCCTGGCAGTGGGAGAGGGACACCTACCCGTCAGGTTTATTTTCAGGGATTCAAACCCGTGTTCCTGGGCACTTTCCTTTCCCGACCCTCCCGTACAGGTTGCTAAGTAGCCCCTGCTATGCTCGGTCTGCCATTTACCGTCAGGAACCCAGGAATCTGTGCGTGCTGGAGCGACGCTGTTCCCGAAGCCTGTGGTCACCTTCTCCGGTGCTCTCGACCTTGATGCAGAAGCAAGGACAGCGCCCACGGAGTCCGTGGCCCCAAACACCTCTGCCTCCTGCTGACGCCCACAGAGCGCAGGATTCACAAAAGCTGCAGGCTGCACCCTCGATTAACAGCTTTAAAAAAACGCACACCAGCACGGCTTCATATCGCATTTACTTGGCATTATCGCCGATGGCAGAGCGGTTTCTTCCCTTCAAACTCTTCACCCTTGCTGCCTCCAGGTTCCTTGTGTCCCGCGTGGTAGTGGGCCTGCGCCGGTACAGCCTGTGAACCCTGCGCCCTTAGAACTGCAGGACGCGCCGGACGGTTTCCACGTAGTGGCGGTCTGGGGGTGGCTTCCTTGGGCTCCCAGGCTGCAGGAACTTCTTAATAGTGGGGATGTTGCTGATTCTTGTTTTAAATGCCTGAAATGTGAAACAGTAAAATCAGGGCCTTCATACCTGTGACAAACTTGAAGAGAAATCAGAACTTTTAGCCAGGCATGCTGGGATTACACACCATAATCCCAGCACTCAGGAGCCTGACACAAGAGGATCCCCTCGGTTCAAGGCCAGTCTGGGCTACAGAGTAAGTTCAAGGCCAGGCTGAATGACATAGTAAGACCCCGACTCCAAAACAAAACAAAAAGAAAAAAAATCAAAACTTTATCAGGAGAGGAGGCTGCTCAGACATTCGGTGTAGAGTCCAGAGTGCTGAACCTGAGATAATCCCACCGCGCGTCTGCAGGATGGCATGAGTAATAGAGTCTTGGTGTTTGGAGCTTGAGCTAACTTATCCAATTAAAAGCCATTGTCACAATGGAGCAGTGCAGGTAAAGAAAACCCGAAAATACTCGTATTCCTTGACCTCTCAATTCCAGTGCTAGGAATTTAGTATAAGTAAGTGACCAAAGAAATAGCTATCGAAATGTTGACACAGAGTCCTATTAGAAATAATCTATGCTTCCCAGTTACATATACAACTTATGGTACATATATAAATTATGGCACAAAGATAATAAATTATATTTCTATAAGGAATATAAACAGTAACTTAAAATGAATGTCATATATAAAAAAGAAAAAAGTGCCGTACAGGTAGAAAAATATCTAGAATGCATTTTTTAGTTAAAATAAAAATCTGGAGCCCAAGAGAAAATGTGCTGTTTTTACTTTGTGTAAGAAAGCAGAACAGTCGTGTACTTCCTGTTTGGTTATCTCTTCACATGCAAGAACACTGAAGGATGTGGAGGAAACTCAGGAGAGTGATTATGGGGCAGGAAGATGAAGCACAGGGCTGCAGATGAGATTTCCCAACTTATGTCCTCTTTACAGCGCTCTGGTGTCTCAAAAAAGTGCTACTTTATTGCTCAATGAAAACAAAATGAAATAGCATTATACTGCAGAACAGTGTTTGTTGACATGTAAATATAATCATGACAATTGAAAAATCTTAAACACAAGCCACAAAAGAATATTCTGTGTAATACCACATGGGGGAAATGCAAAGTGATGTGTCAGGAAGTCTCATGCAGTAACATTTGGCTGGTAGATCGTAGGTCTTTTTCCCCCCCTCTTCTTTTGGTTTAACAAATGTCTACTGTAGCCTTATAAACTTTATTTCTTTTGTAATAAGAGTTGCTTTTCAACTGTAAAGCCCGTGTCACTAGTCACCTATTCGATAACAGCTAAGGAGCTGGACTAGAGGCAGGTGAGGTCTGGCAGGGGCTGCAGCCGCGCACCAGGAGGCAGAGTGCCACACGCGGACGCCGGGCAGGGGAGGAGCAGCGAGGGCCCAGCCTCAAGGGGCACCACCCGGGCAGGACTGTCTGGCAGGAGCTGGAGCTGAACAAGACAGACCTGTTCGCCTTGCTTCATCAGGGGAAAAAAGGCTCCAAATACTAAAAGAAAAAAAAAAGTACTAAATGTTTATCCTAGAAACCAAAATATCTATTTTTCCTTCATGAGGGTTCATTTCCTAACAAATCACATAGTGGATGCAGGAGAAAATAACCAAAGGGAATAAAAAATGATGCTATTTGAAACAGCCATCTTAAGTTCCTGCTGAGAATGATCCGGCAGCACATTTTGTCTCAGTCTTTGATCTCATCAACGTTCAGGCTTGGCGTGGATGGTGGCACACTACCTTCAGCAGAGGGAAGTCCGAAAGGACAGGAGCGTCAAGTTCTTCCACCATTAGAATAGCTTCCAGCAGCTGAATGTCGGCCCAGCTGAACTTGTTGCCAATGAGATAATCCTCTCCATGGTCTTTCAAAATCTACAGGAAGGAAAAACCAAAAAAGAATATCAAATGGAAGTAAAGACTATCTTGCCCAGCTAAAGACTTACAAAAGCATAAAATCTTTTGTAACACAGATATGCTGAAGAAACTTTTTCTCAATAATCTCCAGGGCTAGCAAGGATGGGATAAAACTAATACTCTTACACAGGCGGTAAACTGGCACAATCTTTGAGGAAATTGCTTAGTGATGCTCAGGGCGCCTTGGGTCATGATGCCCACACAACAGCCTCTTATGCATGCCTGGAGTACTAAGGAAAACTGCCACCAGCACCTGGGGACACAAGCTATGATTAGCTAGAGTCTGCCTGCTATACCACAAGTAGAAATAAGCTACCAATGGAATAGCAGAAGTCCAAACCTGATTCACATAAAAACCTAATTTTTCACTATCCAGTGAAAAGTGAATATTAAAAAAAAATTTCCCAGGGGAAACTCTGAGTAGCAAGGAACTTGAGGGTTTACTCCATAAATAAGGAACAAAGGCAAATTCAGCTGTCCCATCTCTTGCTGTGATACATGCAACAATAAAAAATAAATGTCCGTGGAGAAAAAAATGAGTAAATTCCAGCCTAGGCAAAGACAAAAACTTTTGAAGGGATATTTCAAATATGTGGCATGTGATTCCTGCTGGAGACAAGTTCACAGCTAAAAATTACATGGCATGCAAAGAAAAACTCATCCATAGGTCAGGGCCAACAGACTCTTAAGAAAGGATAGTTTTCAGTGTTTAAGCCAAAGCCAGGAATAATTTTTTAAAGGCTTAAAAATAATGTTTACAATGTTCAAAAGTTGATGAAAAAAGGTCATGTAGAAAAAAAGATTATATAGGTCTGAAAAAGATATAAACAAAAAATTTAAGTTGGGGCTGGGGATTTAGCTCAGCAGCACAGCGCCTGCCCAGCAAGCACAAGGTCGTGAGTTCAACCCCGGGTACCAGAAAAAAAAAAAAAAATTAAGTTAAAGATATAAAACCTCAGATGCTCCCCCACGTCTCACGTGTTGGAAGGTGACTGATGGTGTGTGAGCCGTTCTCAGCAGGGGATTGAATCATGGACACGTTCACAGCCGAACTGCTGTTAAGAGGAGGTCCTGGGGCTGTGATGGGGCCTGGAATGTGCGTTCTTGTCCCTGGCTCCTCCTCCCTCTGCTTCCTAGCTGCCTTGGGATGAGCAGTTGTCCTCCACCGGGCCCTTTGTCCATGCCCTTCTGCTTTAGAGCAGCCGACAAGCTGAGCCCGCTGGAAACAGGAGCCAAGTAACCCTCTGCCCCACTAGGTGTCAGATATTGGGTACTCCGTCCCAGTGACAGGAAAGGGACTAATGCTCTGATGTAATAAACTCAGGGGAGGAGTCAAAAGATAAGTGCAGTAAAACTTTGGTTGGTGAGTGTCACTGGTTCCCAGAACATGCTTGTAATCCGAAGCACTTGTGTATCAAAGCAAATTTCCCCATGAGAAATAATGGAAACACGAAAGATTGGTTCCACAACTCAAAAATGTTCATGTAAAAATGATTACAACACTGTACTACAATATAAAATAATAGAGAAAGTACAAAATATAAAGAAAAGTAAGAAAACTGGCCTGCACTTATCTTTGAGAACCTTCAGGGCTGGTGTGAGGGAGACAAAAGAGAGGAGGGCTATCGCACAGGACGACTTTCATGTCACTGATGGAATCACGGCTACCTGTTGGCTCAGTGGAATCTGCTTCTTTTCATGCAGCTTTACCAAGAAACCTATCCTGTGACAGTTGCTTTCGCCTCCTTTTTGAGGATTTTGAAGAAATGTAACGTTGCATTGTTTTTAAACAGAGTCATTGCTTGCGCTGTTACTGCCTTACTCAGGTGGTGCTTTTCTACAAAATTTTGCACTGTTTCCCCCAATTTACACATCTCCCTAATCTCATTTGACGTGAGGGATTCCGCTGCCTTTTTCTCCTCTTCCTCTGCAGATGAGCTCTCCTGCATAACCTCTTGCTGTGGGGAGATGACTGCCCACAATCTTGGAGAGAGAGACAGAGGGAGAGGCAGAAGGAGAAGGGGAAGGAAAGAAGGGTCACTCCGCTGTGATCATGTGACCCTCAGTGTGATGTAGCACTCGTATGGTAAGACACTGTTTGTCAAGTTGAAATGTACTGGAAATGTTTGCTCATCTTGTAGAACACTCAGAACAAATTACAGTGCAAGGTTCTACTGCACTAGCAATTCTGCGTCCATACCCGAGCAATCACACAGAGATAAAGAAAATGAAATATAAAACAGCAGAAGCGAAGAGACACAAAAGGCAGAATAAGTCTTCAACCTGTATCTAACCGGAACTCAGAGCAGAACAGAGTAAGGGAGCCATGTTTAATACTAATAAGCACAGAATTTTCCAGAATGAAGAGATGGGGGAGGAATCCTCAGGCTGAAAAGGAGCAACAGATAAATAAAAACAAGTCTAGAGTTAAACCCATAGCAGTAAAAGTATATCAAAAAAGGGAAAATCTAAAATGTGGAGAAAAAAAGGATACAATACCATCAAAAAATAACGATACTAACACCAGACTTTGAAACAGAATAATCAAAGCCAGAAGACATTCTCATTATACTTTTGAAATGTTGAAGGAAAACAATTTTTTTTGTCTTTTTCTTTTTTTTTTTTTTTGAGACAGGGTCTTGCTATGTAGTTCAGGCTGGCCTTGAGCTCACTTTGTAGCCCAGGCTGGCGTCGAACTTGTAACGATCCGCCTGCCTCAGCCTCCCGAGTGCTGGGATTACAGTCATGTGCCACCATGCCCCGCAAAGGAAAATAATTATTAATCTAGAATTTTATAACCATTTAGATAATCATTTTAGAGTAAAGGAAAATAGGAGATATTTTTGACAAAGTCTTAAAGAGATAACAGACCCTTCCTGAGAGAACAGAAAAGAAAAATATTTCTTATGTAGAAGGAAAACACACTGAGAAGAAGAAAGGCTGAGAATCAAGGAGCAATAGGGGTCAAAAATTTTTTTCTTGGTTATTTAAGCAAATATTAGGTGTCATCCAGGGTCAATAGTTCATTACTGACTAATACTAGGCAGTGGGAGTGCCCACCTCTGCAGCACCTGTGCTGATAACAGCAAGAGCAGTTTTAACAGTGGGATCTAAAACATGATTCAAATACAGAAGCCTAAACACAGCAAGAAGAGCAGGTGGGAGGAGGCTGGAGCTTTGTTGTGTTGAGAGGATAGTGACTGATAGCAAGAGGAAGAAATGTGCATCTCCTAAGCCATGAGAGGAAAAGAAACCTGATCACTGCGTTGAGAACTTAGGAAAGAGGTGGGGAAAGCCAGAGAAAAGTTGGCTTTGAATTTGTAAAAAGAAAACAAAATAAAGTAGAAACAAATACAAATTTAGTAATAACGACATTTTGTTTAAATGGCTCAAAAATGTAGTTTATTTTTAAAAAGTAAGTTACAAGACAAACTTACAATGTGCTGAACTTTTGTTCAGGGGGGCTGTAACTGGGGCTTGGACCCAGGGGTGTTGTGCTGAGCTATATCCCCAGGCACTTTTTTATTGTTTATTTTGAGACAGAATCTCACTAAGTTGTCTAGGCAGGACTTGAACTTGAAATCCTCCTGCATCAGCCTCCCAAAGTGCTGGGATAATAGGCATTTGCCACCACACCCAGCAAATATTTTAAATGACCCAGGTCTCTATTTTTTTAAGTGGGAATAAAGAATTTAAATCCAATTTGATGGTGATTACCTTTGGAGAAAGAGAGAGGGAGGGATTTAACACTTGAGAACAGTGCAAATATCAGCACTCCCCATGGATACTGTGCCACACACAGCAAAGGTTAGCAGTCACAAAAATAACCAGAACTCCTTGGAAAAATGACTTCAAGACCAGAGAAGCAAAATGTACAGGATGAGCCCAGAGCAGGTCGCAGGACCAGACAGCAAGGAAGACTGCTGGGGTCAGGTCAGGAAGCCCAGCTAGAAGAAGCACCAGCGGCCAAAGACAGGGTGGTTCTGCTCACGAAGGCTAAGCGCTGAGGGCCGGCGGCATGGCTCAGCGGGACACTGGCGGAGCGTGCGCAAGGCCCAGCAGAGCAGAAAAAAAAAAAGACAAAAACCTCATTCGTGTACTGCAAGGAGCGATGTCATCTGTCATCGGTGTTCACCACCAAACAGCGTCAGAAAAGTTGTGTGCTGGAGAGATTCTGTCTGCTGATTGAGGCTCAATTAGCCCCTAGTATCAGACTTAAAATTTTACAAATCAGTTATTACAGTGACTTCAAGGTGGGAACACATCGGACTGATGACTTACTTTTAAATTAGAACAGAAACGGCACTCGGTTTGTTGCCGTTCTGTTTTGTTAGGGGGTCTAGTTTCACCTGTTGTTGGTGCTGGAATCCCTGTTAAGAGTTTTGATCTCAAAGCAGCAAAGCTCTAACATAGCCTCTCTCTTCTCGGATATCCACTCTTCAATACTGTCCGTGACAGGAGATGTAAAGTCCCTGCAGCCTACCTTTTCAAAGGCGGGGAAGTAGCGGGTTTTAGCTTTCTGCACGATTGAAGCTTGGGCCTTCTCTCTGTCCTCGGGGGCGCTGAATGCGGCCAGCGCGATCGTTAGCATCAGGTCCAGGGTCCCGTCCACGTACATGTCGATCCTGACAAAACAGCAGAAGAATCTTTTCACACCGTTTCCTAAGCCAGACTCTCTGCTATGAATAGCTGCTGGGAGAAATGATATCCACTCCTCACGCTTCTGCTCTCCCAAATGGTTCCTGGTATGTGAACCCGCCAAGTGCCCAGAGTACTGTACGGACCTCTAGAAACGTTTACTGAATAAAGACTCACGTGAAAAGAGTAGAGACCTCTGTGTTGACATTTGGCAGAAACAAATGATGAACTTATTATGGCTTCAAAAACTGAAATCAGTGAAGTTATTAAAAGTGAAACGGTATTAGTACCAGAACCTTTTCACTGCCTTAGAGGAGATGGGTAATTTAATAGGTTTTTGTTGACCTGGAAACTGAGAATGAGAAGTTTAGTGTTCTCGTCTGGTCAAATAACGGCTCTTTTTCATTGTCTTTGAAGTTTTCTTTTCATTGACAAATACTTTTTTAAAAGCTAATTTTCAAAAAGTTAATAATGGCACGTGTATTACTACAGACATTCCTTGTGTAAGGATCGAGTTCGTGTCCTGCTGGTAGGTCATTACGTGAGTTGGCCCCTCCATGAGAAATTGTATATAATAAATACATTGCCATATTCAGAACAAAGAAGTGGTCAAAGGAAACTTCAGCTTGATGGCTTTGCTTTTATTTGCATAACTCTTACACGCAGTACTGCAATGTATGACCGAACATAAAGCTATAGTATTGTACTCTACAGTAAAGTCAGCAAAAATTACAGTCCTGTGCAAACAAGGTGGACTAAAAAACAGACACTGAGGCTCTGTCAACAAGATGCATGGAACTGTACGCAAAAAAGACGAGTTGCAAGTCCAAGGAGCAGATCGTAAGTCGGAGCAGCGCACCTCGGTCGTCAATCCAGACCGTTGTGAGACGGGTGGGGCATTAAATGAAGAACACCTGCGTTCTGTATTGGCGCGCTCACGCTGCGTTAGTTATCTCTGCATGTGCCCTGGTAACCCCTGTGATGTGCTGAGTGGCCAAAAAAACTTTGTTTAATGGTCTTCTGGACTGTCTTCCTTTTCACAGGAAACACATACAGAGGAGTAAGGTACTCTTGTCTTATCTGAATTACAAATCATTCTCTTCCTTGTTAGAGTATCACTTAAACCATGTGTTATGCTCAGCCTAGAGAAAGAGATGGTGATGGTGCTACCTATAGACTAGGACAGGTATCTCAGAAAAACACCTGGGGATTCTAAAAAGAAAAAAAACCCTGATGAAAAGTTTGCATCAAACCAACGAGAGGCAGCTGCTTTTGCACATTAGTCCCTATTTCCCCGTTTACGCGGTTGCGCAGGGTTCTCTGCACACGCTGTTCGAAGCTGCTTCACCGAGGCCAAATGCACGGTACGGATGCCACGGTACCTACTCTCTCCTTCAGGTCCTTCCCGTACAGGTTGTACTTAGCAGCCAGGTAGCTGAGGATGGCTCTGGTCTGCGTCAGCGTCATCCCGTCAATTTCAACCAGAGGCACTTGGCCAAAAAGCAGGCGTCCGTCTGTGGTTGGAGAAAAGAGAGGGTGAGATACTCTTCTTTGATGACTGTAACAAGTCTGTGGGATAGGCTACTTCTAATGTCACTGAAAGACTTTTAATTTTCAGCCAAAGTAATGAATTACAGCACCCTGCAATTGAGAAAATACCTGCCGTGGAAAATTCGAGACCTGTTTGACTCATGTGTGCGTTTTTGTATACTGGTCATTGATGAATTTTTAAAAATGTTCCACGTTTACTATAACCATGTATAGTGTAAACGCTTCTGGCTCTGAAGATTTAGGCTCTATAAGAACCAGCTGGACTTGGCCTAGTGGTGCACACCAGTAATCCCAGCACTTGCCGGGCTGAGGCAGGAGGATCACCAGGAGCTTGAGGCCAGCCTGGGCTACATAGTGAGCTCGGGTTTGGCCTGAACTACATAGCAAGCTCTGTCTTGAAAAACAAAACAACAACAACAACAATAAAAACCAGTTATGTTGGGTGAGGATTTCTTAAAAAGACCCACATGCTCCCCAGATGTTCTGTTGCAGGGAAGGAGTTCAGGAGTCTACACTGCTTGAAAGCACATCAGGTATCACGCAGCACCAAGGTGGCCATAACAGTAACGGCGCAGGCAGACCTGGTTCAGGATCAACTGTAGTCCTCTCTGTCCATGTGACTTTGAGCAAAGCAATTATATGAGCCCCAGCTTCCTGTTTCTAAAATACTATAAACCAGGCGTGGTGGTGCACGCCTGTAATCCTAGCACTCGGGAGGCTGAGGCAGGAGGATCACTTCAAGTTCGAGAACAGCCCGGGCTACAAAGTGAGCTCAAGGCCAGCCTGAACTGCATAGTGAGACCCTGTCTTAAAAAAATAAATAAATTAAATAAAATAAAATAGTATATCGCTGAACTTGCCTCACTGTGAGGCCTTAGGTTCAACCCTCAGTTCTGCAAAGTAAGTGAATATGCAAAGAAATAAGGAGGAATATATATCTAGCAGAACTTTGAAAAGATGAAATAATATAAACACAGATAATCAATAATCAGTGTTCACTGAAATCACAAGCAAGTCCTCTTCGCTCCAGGTAAGTGCCGGGAGGTACGCATCGCTTCCCAGCGCTAACCCTTCCCAAGAACTGTGCTGTTAGGCGGTTCTATCACTGTGCAGAGGTCATTGAAAAACTTAGGTGGTTTCATCAGTAGGCAGTGTAATCTCACGGCACCACCATCAAATATATGATCCAATGCTGACCAAAATGCGTAGCGCAGGTGATGCATTTAACAATACCTACCAATGCTCTTTTCATGGGGTCTTAAAGAAATGAATAGCGGGGCTGGGGATTTAGCTCAGCGGCACAGCACCTGCCTGGCAAGCGCAAGGTCATGAGTTCTATTCCCGGTACCGGAGAAAAACGAAAACCAAAACCAAAAAAAAGAAAAAAGAAATGAATAGCTTTCAAATTTCCATTCAAATTTGCCCATTATTGTAAGGAACCAGGGTCTGCCGCGGCATCGCCAAAGGCCACAGTCAGTTCCTCTCTCAGTTGATTAAAGAGCCAGAGGAAGGCAGAGGGCCGAGCGCCTCCCCAAGGACCAGGCTCCGCTCCCCGAGCCCTGGTGCCCCTCTCAGCATGGGTGAGTTGGGCAAGTCACTTACTTCTTTGAGCCTGTTTCCTGATGCCATCGCATCTGTTCTGCCCATTTACCCAGTAGGAAATAGATGAGTGTGTCCACGCTTCGAAAATACCTGTGCTATTGCTGCTGGGGAGGCTGCAGTCTGCATCCACTAATCATGTCCACACTTTTTCAACCCTGAAAGAGTATCTAAGAGCTGAGTGCTCTGCTGCTGCTTGTGAGCAGTTCTGACACCAACTAGAAGTGGTGCCTGTGTCTAGGAGCCAACAGTAATTTTCGGAAGGGTTTTTAACTCAAAGCTCCCATGAAGAGGGTAGGGAAAGGCCTGAGCTGCCGTTTAGCTCAATCCCCTCATATGGAGAACGGCACTGTAGGGCCCAGGGCATGGATGTAATTTGCCCAAACTCACAGTCCAGGGACACTGAGGGCCTCTTGTCTACTGCTGTCCCTGCTGTCCCTCTTTTGTTGTTCAAAAACAAGAGGAGGGAGTTCCCAGGGAAGTGGCGGCCTCATCCACGCAGGGAAGGCTGGAGCCTTGCGGAGGTGTTGATGGACGTCTCCTCCTCCCATGCTCACGGAAGGGCTGATGGAGCGACAGTTATTTGCTCAATGTGTGCTTGTAACCCCTACCGTGCACCAGGGACTGTCCTTGGGGTAGAGCAGACAGAAATGAAGAGGAGGAAGAATTTCAGGGGCATAACGGACAATAAAGTTCTGGAACAAGAATGTAAGAAAGGGGGCTGGGGATTTAGCTCAAGAGCACAGCATCTGCCTGGCAAGCATGAGGTCGTGAGTTTGATTCCAGGTACTGGGGGGGAAAAAAAAGAATGGGAGAAAGTATAGCCGGGCCCTCCCTGATTCACCAAGATCTCCTTGCAATCTACACCCAAGAGCCTGTTTTTCTGTTATGATGGGGAGACAGGGAGGCAGACAGGTGAAAAGCTTGCCCAGCGCTATGCGGCTTCTCAGTGCCCGTCTGCTGACTACTGTGGAACAGCCTTCTTAAAAGTAATCTGGGTTCAGTCCATGACTATCTGGGGCCGGCAGCAGGGTGTCTGTGTTTCTTCTGTTAAGGACAGTAACGTGGCTGTTAAAAGTTTAAGAATATTATTAAAGCACTGGTCTTTTCTCTCAGTGTGAAGAATTTTTCTAGGTAATGGTAATGATGAAGATCTTCTTTGGTCAAAATTTAATCAAAATTGGATTTTCCTATAGTATCAGTTCTACACTGTGAGTTGTCTATCATGACCTAATAGAATGGTTTCTGTCAATCTGTTAAAACAGCTGAAGAATAGTGGAGGTAAACCAGAGTAAGTCAAGAATATCCTCCTTCCTGCCTCCTTCCTTCTGATACACTGGGTTAGTACTTAAATTCTTATGGGGGGGCGGCCTTGGGACATGCAGCACCGGTCACCCCATGGTATCATATTAGTTGAGGTCACCACCAAAGCCTGCTTGCTAAGTTTTTTTTTTTTTTTGGTTTTTCTCCGGTACCGGGAACCGAACTCACGACCTTGCGCGTGCCAGGCAGGCACTTTTGCCGCTGAGCTAAACCCCCAGCCCCTTTGCTAAGTGTTTTTGAAGACTGGGGAACTGATACATTTAGCTGTGTGTCAGGGAGACAGAACAGTCGGTGATAGTGGTCATGCTGTGTGCTTGCCTTTTCTAATAGCTGTCACTCTAGAGCTCTATGTTCTATATTAAATATTTCCAGAAACAAGTTTCTATTTTTTTCTATAAGATAACATTGAAGCACACTGTCTTGGTTACCTTTCTCTCGTTGCTGAGACAAAATACCCAAAGCCCAAAATTAAGGAAGGAGAGGTTCATTTAGCTCACAATGTGTGAAGGTTCCAGTCCACATTCAGCTGGCTCCAAGGCAGAGTGGCCCATGGCAGAGAGCAAATGTTCATGGCAGTGGAAGACAGCAAAACAACAAGAGCAAAAGGGAGGAGTGGTGGGAGCAGCCTCCTCTTTCCCTCCCTTGCATTGCATGCTATCCGCTGCCCACACCATCTCAGTGCCCTCCCCTTGCACAGGCTCAGGATGAACACCAAAACACATCCTAGAGTGGTCTGTGCATGTCTTTTCACCCCAGGAGGTAGAACTGCTGAGTCACTTAGCCACGCCTCCAGACTCCTCAAGTTGACACAATGCATCAACCATAACACTCACCCTCCTGCAGTTTCTCATATTGTTCTCTTGTTTCAAGAAATTCTTCTTCAAACTAGATAAAGGATAAAAAGATCATTATAACCTTAAAAAGAGAGAGAGAGAGAGGGCCAGGGACACAGCTCAGCAGCACAAGCACCTGCCTGGCAAGCGCAAGGTCAAGTCTCGGTATCAAAAAGGAGAGATTCTGACAGCAGAAAAGAAGTTCCCAGCATCTTTCAGAATAAAATGTTCAAAGGAACTGTAACTATCACCAACACAGCTGAGGAGTGTACGAGAGGGTGTGTGTGGATGAGCTGGGTGAGTGGGCTGGCGGCCGGCCCTCCTTGGGGTGGCCTCTTTCAAGGCTCACGGCACCGTTTCCTGTTTTCCTTTCCTTAACTCTTGCCTTGCTCCAAATTCTCATCCTTGTCTCCAGCTTCCCAGTAGCTCCTCTTCCTTCCCCTCTCATTCCTTTTTTTTTTATTCTCTTCTGTATTATTCTCCCTCCACATCAGGGCAAATTAAATTTCTCACTGATGCTCATATAGGAAGGGTGAGACCGTGCAAGTTTATTGGTGGGAGTTATAAAGCTTTGGTAAGGGTAATATTTTTGTCCCTACATCTCAAGATGGGAGTGTGTTAAGGTTTGCGCCTTCGGGGAGATGTTCTTAAAGGCAGAAGAGGAAAGAGAATATGAGCCTTTTTCCTGAGGAGATGACATTGAGTAAGGAAAAGGAACTCCATCCCTGCATGAAACCCTAAGGGCAAGCTGAAACACCAACATGACCCCCGGGATTCGGAGGCAGATTTATTTACATCAACAGGCACTGATGGGGATCACTTCCGGAATATCAGGCCCTGATCCCTGGCGGTCTAGGGCTTATATAAGATAAGCAAGCAGGAAGTACAGAGGCAGAATGGCTTGTCAATTGGGGATTGGTTTATACAGTGTGCATCACAGTGACCAGCCATTTCTAAGAGATAGGAGCAACCGGATCTAGAACAGGAGCTGTTACTGGGCAACTAAGAAACTGAAGTATACAGATGGGGGAGCATTCTCTGCTACAAAACAAAGCAATTCCAAGATGCCTGTGAACAGTCAGTGGGGAAGAACTCCGCTGGGGAACAGTTCTAGATCAGCATAAATATTAAATGACTGAGATGCTGAGGTAGGGCCGAAAACACCCCAGGAAATCAGGGAGTCCCAGTGGAAAGAATAAGTCAGATGTGTATCTCCTCTCTCTTCTTAATCTTGCTATCTACCAAACTCTTTTAATGCTTCTGAAGCTACCAGAACAACTCCATGCCTCCAACTCCTCCCCAACCCCTACTCCTCAGGACTGTAACACACCCTCATCTCACACCAAAATACACTTGGAAGGGGAAAGAACAGATAAACCCTGGAGGCGCCATCTTGAATCTGAAAGAGGAAAGGCGCTTCAGTAATCCCCCAGTTACCTTCCCTCCCCTTCCCAGTCAGGAACCAACCTCCACTCCAGCTGCGGCCAGCAGCCAGCGGATTGACTCCATCCTGCCCCTGCCACAGAAGTAATAGAGCTTGGGTTTGGATGCCATGACTTCTGGCCGAGTTTCCTAAAGGGCAAAATTTAAATACGTTTAAAGAACAAACTAACACACGCCGTGTTGTATGTCTCCATTCATAGCAATTCCAAAACAGGTAAAACAGAACGATTGTTTAGGAATACACACAGAGGTAAAACTGCGAAGAAAACCAAGGAAATAACCATCCCTGAAGCCAGGTGGTGGTTAACTCCTGCAAGGAGAGGATGTTGGGGCGTGGAGACGCCAGAGGGAGTCAGCACATCTGCCAGACGACAATCCCGAGAGTGGGGCAGTCTCCTGAATGCAACAGTTCATCGAGCATTCTCCACGTTCACAGCAACAGAAAGCGGAACTCTCCCATGGCGTGAGCTGGAAACAGCCGAATGCCGTGAGGACCGGGCTGGGGCAGGCGCCGCACCGAGCGCGCAGCAACCCGCAGACCAACACAGCCACGGGGCCGAGCGGGCCGTTCAGGACGGCAGGTGACCGTCACAGACAGCTGCAGAGCTCTAGCGGCAGAGTGGTCCCCAGGGCCAAGGCCACAAGCACTGAGTCAGAGATGCCTCTTACGCCACAGGGAATTTGGTACAAACACGTGCTCATCTTAGAGCTGTAAAACGTTTTTCTTTATGGAAAACATGTTCTGTGCTGTTGGACCAGGATTCAGGTCCTTACCGGGTCCCCAAAAGCTGGCTGACCTCAGACCCCGCTCACGAAGTCCTTTTTGCATGTCTGTCCACACCTGCCTGTGGAAAGAACCCCACGAGGCAATCTGTCGCCTTTTGTAGCTAAGTGTGGTGCTGGCACGAGCGTGCCTGACAGTATTTGGGATTATCGAGATGGTCAGATGCAATAAAGATACAGTGCCTTGAAAACACTAAAGCTCTTATGGCAATGCAGAGGGTAGCTGAGTCGCCGCTCCTCACCCGCTGCCCTCCTGTACCACGGGCTCGCAAGGAACAGCCAAAGCAAGGGCGGTGGGTGCTGCTGATCCAGGGCTGAGGCCGGCAGGGGGCTCACTTACGGGGATGCTGTGCTACCTCGGCCGCCTGGGGGAGCATTTCCAGGGCCCTGAGCCGGGGAACTGCCACACAGACGCAGGCCCTGTCTGGGACAGGACTTGAGGGTTCGGCATATGTTGGTAAGTCTCACAGGAAAGTACAAAAGGAAACAGAGAAAGAAACAGAGTATCAGTAACTCAGTATGACAGGACAATCAGCTGTTAAACTACATGATCCTAGACACAGTCCGGAGGGCTCAGCCTCGAGGGTGTTTGGGAGCCATTCCCCTTGTTCTCCGGTGGGAAGTACTGCTTCACTCCAAGGGAAGTTGGCTCTGGGCTGATGTCAAGGTTCAGGCCTTTTAAACGGCCTCTTTACTGATGGCATATTGAAAATATCAGCAACTTCCTAAAAAGTCTCCTGATTATCTAAGGAGACTCCAAGAGAAAAGGGCACGTGGATGACCAGATTCCCTGGCTGGAGAACCGTGTTTAGGTTTGGTCTTTGCTAACAAAGCCGGGAATGAACCTCGCGATAAAATGAACGTGGAGACCGTGAGAAGGGGGCGGGGCCTGTGACCCCTGTTGACCTCTCCCAGCCACAGGGATCCTCAGCGCTCTGACCTCCTCCAGTTCCCAAGTAGATGGGTGAGGAGTTACCACTCTTAGCACACTTATTGTTAATATATGTATTATGTATTTCAAAACTGCCAAAATAGATTTGTAATGTTCCCACCACAAAAAATGGTAAATTGGTGAGGTGGTGGATATATTAATTAGCTTGACTAAATCTTTCTGTAATGTATTCCTAGATCAGAACATCACACTGCACTCCATAAATGTGCACAATTATTATCTGTTAATTAAGATAAATTTTTAAATGTTTTAAATGAAACAAGCAGGAGGGCATAGGAATTCTCAGACATGCCAAAGACACCGCAGGATAAACACATAGAAGAACTTCCAGCCCTGGAGAAATTCACCTTCCGGAGAGACCACGCCAGGTACCAGTAGTGCAAAAGAAATGAGGAATTGACTCGTGATTCAAGCCCCCAGGTCTCCCTCTTCTGCCTCCGGACAAAGATGAAGCAGTACTGATGTGTGGCCAGGTGTGGGGGTCGTGCATAAGGAATTTCCACTCTCCACTGTCTTTAGTGTGCAGTGCTCCGACCATTCTGACGCCCTGAGAGGTGGAGATTCATCTGTAAGTCTGGCTGGGGCTGGTCTAGTCCAGTTACTTTCTGTGGTTCTGTCTCCCTGAATCCTTTAACCAGAGCGAACTGTGTTGAAACAAAGGCTAGGGCGAAGAAAAATGAAACACGGGAAATACTACTGTAACCCTTCATACGATGCTTCTGCTACGCTCTGGCGTTAGGCAAGCTGAACGCCATCCTTTTGCTAATTCTGTGCATCAAATTAGACAATGTTTGGAAACTTCCAGACGGTGTTTCTACGCAGGGGTCACTTGAAATGCAGGTCACCGTCCTGTCTGGTCACTCGTTTAGTGATCTGAAATCTAGAGAAATAGAAGTCTTGGCTTGGCCTGAGCACAGGAGATTGGACCTCGAATGTCACTGAGCGTGTGGACTGGCAGGCGCCAGACAGCATCCGCATCCCGGAAACCTGGTCCCAGGGAGACACCAAGGCTGCTCACACGCTGGCAATGCAAATGCAGCCACTGTGATGGAGAATGAGGCAGGTTTCTTGTTGGCACTGCGGGTGGCAAATCAAAGGGCCACAGAAACACAGGACTTTGGAGGTGCTGGAATACACCAGCGGGGGAGTTGGCAGACAGCCAAAGCAAGTCAGGGTGCCAGGGATGAATCTAGTGTTTCCCTTGAGGAGACATGGAGGAGACATGGAGACCAGATGCCGGGGGGGAGACCTCTGTTCCTTGAGATGTGCCCGCCTGAGTTTTGGGCCCCTTTGGTCCAAAAAGGACATAAAGGTTGAAAATCTGAGAGCTCAGTGGGAACCACTCCCTGCACCTGCTCCTGGGCCCGTTCTCAAATGGAATTCCGAGAATACCCTTGCTTTCAAGGCCGGGCCTCAGGGCTTCCAGGTCCCAGCTCCACAAACTTCAGAGCCCTGTTACTCTACAGATTGACTCTGATTCTCTATGCCTCAATCCGCTAATGTGACCTCAGGGGTGGCGGGTGTGCTATTCTCCTGAGACCCGTGAGCACAAGCAACAGGTGAGACGCCACAGCATCTCAGCCACACCAAGTGGCCTGCTCGGCTTCTTCACACGGGTCATAGGGCGCTTTCTAGAGCTCCTTTTGTCAAGATTGGCTTGTTGGGGCTGGGGATTTAGCTCAGCGGCAAAGCACCTGCCTGGCAAGCACAAGGTCGTGAGTTCGGTTCCCGGTACCGGAGAAAAACCAAAAAAAAAAGATTGGCTTATTGATTTTATGAGTCCTTTGTAAAGGTTTGTTGCAAATGCAATAGACATTTTTTTAAAAGAAGCAAAAAAGCTTTTGTAAATTTGCCTCGGTACTGCACTATAAGATATTTTACAAGTAAAATCTAATGTGGTTTTGGCCTACATTTTGCGAGTTAGGAGCATAGTTCAGCATTTCTGTGGTTTGCTGTTTTCTGGGAGCACAGCTTGGATTTTACGTGGCGGCTTTGTGCCAGCCCTGTCCCCACTTCTCTTCCGCCGGTTGCTTCCACTTCCCAGGCACATGAAGGCTGAACAGTAACTTGGGAGGCCAAGTTGTTCATACCCAGCAGCTCCAATGGCAGCGCGTCGCCACTTCTTGCAAAGGGCCCAGCAAGTGCTCGTGCGCTCCGTAATTAGCTGGCTTGAGCCAGTCACCACCCCTGGGCTGAGCCTCAACCCTAGGATGCTTCCCACATGGTTCCGAGGATAGAGGAGGGTGGCCCGAACTGCAGCGTGTCAAAGCAGCCTCCGCAGGACTCCAGGCCCCGCCTGCACCCCTCACAGGGGGAGCTGTTCCTTCGAATGACTCTGCGCAGAGAGGGGGCCCCTCAGCCTCGTATAACCTCACATCAGCCGAGCTCCAGCGGCTCTCCCTGGAGCCTGCACTGCGCGCTGTTAAGGAAGCAGCAAGCCCTGGACGCCAGGGACTGTCGCGTTCCTCCCCTGGAGAGCCAACCAGCATTCTCCACTGTGCCCACACGCGTGCTGTGGCCACTGCCCTTACGCACCTTTGCCATACCAGGGTGTAAACTGCAAGGGTCCGCGTTCAGGCTCTCATTTTTCTCTTTCAACACCATTGACTGAAATCCCACTTTGGATAAGTACTAGGTTAAGAATTCCAGACACACACCAACTAACAGAAGTAGTTCCTGTCATCGGGGACACCCAGCCTACTGTGAGGCCAGTCAAAATGAAATAAATGTTTAACAAAAACACAATATGCAACTGGAGTGTGGCTCAACGTGGAGCATTTGCCTAGCACGCAAAAGGCCCTGGGTTTGATCCCCAGCTGGCACCACAGAGCAAACAAAACAGCGCAGTGCAGTGTTAGGGGGATTACACAGAACCCTACAGAGTGAGCATGTGTCTGTCAGTAGGAACTCACCCGACCCTCACCATTCTCTGCTCCACAGCACCCTAAATTAGGACCCAAACACGGTCCTCTAATCCTTTCCCCGTGAGTCTACAAAGAGTAGGACAAGCTGCAGGTTGGTGCTACAAAAGACCAAGCTTGCTTCAGCTCCAAAGTAAACCTAGTCATTTCGCTGTCAGAGTGTAAAAAAACAGGTGCAACAGAATGACTCCTTAGGTCTCTGGGAAATGAATGGAGGGAAAGAGCGCGCTTTCCAGATCTCACCTAACTGCAAACAGCCCGGGGCCATCCCTGCCCTCTCACTGTTTGCCTGGGTTATTGACCAACGAGTGTGTCCTGAATGAATTAAATAAAGCTGGTTAACCAGGTAGGGTTTTAGCATGGGTTTTAAGACTTCTGAAGCTCCCTTGGGGCTCAAAATTCCTCCAGCAGGGGTTGGCTGAGAAGAAAGCAGTTATGATCGGTTGATGACCCTAGGCTAGTTGGAGTACAGTCCTTTGACAAGCAGCCCTGATCTCTTAGGCAATGTAGAACATGTTTCTCCAATACATTCATTTAAGCCAGGGTCTGGGTACCAGTTTCAATATCTCAGCTCTAATTCTGTCTTGAGTGAATTTCTCAATCTTGAGCCTCAGCTTTCTCATTTGTACAAGACTAAGAGTACTTAGCTCACCTGATTAGCTATGAGGCTGAAGTGAGACAGTACGTGCAGGACACAGTCAGGACCCTTGCCCTGTGGGGGCCACTGCAAAGTGGCTCTGAGCTGGATTCAATATTAACCAATTGGCTTTCTGTACTTATGTGTGAGTTGTCTGAAGTTTAGGCGCCTTGTCTGCCATCCCAGTTAACTACAAGGAGACTGCAGCTGCAGGCCTCTCACTCCTGCTGTGCCGGCCTTCCTGGAGATAACATAGTTCTCCTAAATGTACATAATGTATTACTTGAAAAAGTTCTGCCCAGATTCCCGCCTCTTCTTGAGTATCCTCCTCCTTTGTTGGTAAATAAATATGGGCTACCCAGAGAAGTCTTTGGGCTAACCTCTGAGAATACTGAAGCTGTAAGAGTTA